GGCCTGGGGCAGTGGCAGGCAGTGAGGTGCTGGGAGCCAGCGGTGTGTCCCCACAGGGAAGGTGGCCAGCGGTGTGTCCCCACAGGGCAGGTGGCCAGCAGTGTGTCCCCACAGGGAAGGTGGCCAGCAGTGTGTCCCCACAGGGAAGGTGGCCAGCAGCCTCCTGGGCTGCACCAGTGAGGGTGCAGTCAGTAACCCAAGAAATATTCAGGCTATTTCACTTCACTTACAAGGTCACACCTGGAATACTGTGACCACTTGTGGTCCCTCAGTTGGGGAATTTGAGAAGGGTCCAGCAGATGCCACTGGGATTATGGGATTATTAGGGTGTAGCACTTGACATATGAAGAAAGGTTGAAGGAAACAAGTTTCCTCTGACTGGAGAACAGAAAGTTCAAAGGAGATCTAATCACACTCCTTGAATATCTATGAAGTTAGTTGTAGAGAAAACAAAGCTACTCTCTAGACAAGGATGCCTGCTGACAGAACAAGAGACAATGGGCATGAAGAGCTGCAAGAGAAATTCTTAATTGATTCTTGTATTGAAAGGGGGAAAAAAAAAAAGAAGTTTGGAAGAGGCTGCCCAGGAATGCAGTGGACTCTCATGCACTGGAAAGTCTCAATATTATTTGAGGAAATTGCTGTAGCAACATGTGCTGAAGACAAGGTTGGGCCAGATAATCTCCATAGTACAGCAAGCACTTTCCATGAATCCCTGCACAGTCTTTCTAGCAATGTGAATCGTCTTGTCAGCCCACAATCATCATCTTCCTCATGCATGAGGCTTTTACTACTCTGGGGATATGCGATATTTATTTCCAGTTATTGCTAATCCTTCATAAGCAGTTTACACTTTAGTTCTGTTTAAAAGGAGGAGGCACATGGGAGGCAATCACAGACTTCTCCCCTGACAGTTTCTTTTCCAGTCAAGACATTCAAGGAGAGTTAAATTGTGGGAGGATTTTTTTAACCTTCTGTAACAAGGCTTAATTAGGGATCAAGAGCAAATGTTAGAGAAAAGAAGAGGCACCTCTGAACACACATTCATATTGGGCTTTTGTTCCAATTAAGCTGGTTAACAAGGGATGTAAGAGCATTTGCATCTGAAATATGCTCAAAGAATTCAGATAGCAATTACAATTTTTAATTTTACTTCAGCTGAAAATTCTGAGTAAGCAGGACCTTTTGAAGATTAGATATATTTGTGCAGAAATGGTAAAGAACTTGTACAGGCCTTACTTAGTGCCTTAAAATATTTTGACACTGCAAGGAACAAGCTCATGCTAAAACTCAAGAAAAAATTTATTATTCAAGAACATAGGAATTAAAATAAAAAATGTAAAAAAAGAATTGGGAAAGAAAGCCTTATTTTGCTCTCACACCCGATCTGTTCAGCATTTGTCACAAAAGATGTATTTTCACAACTATAATAAAAGAATATTTTGAATGGGGGATCCACATGACCTCTCCAACAACACTGACTTCAGCAGAAGCAAAATCAGGCTTCAGAGCTGCCCATTTTGGACCAAGAAATGCTAAGAAGCAAAAGGGGCAACCTTGCCATACCCTACATTTGTTAAACACAGTAAGAGGCATAGCTGTGAGAAGATAGGTAAAGTTAAGGAAGAGACAGAGCTTTCCTTTGCTAACATTTACCAAAATACTGTAACAGCAAAATTTTTCCTTTTTTTTTTTTTGGAGCAACACCTAATCCCCTGGTTTTTCTCTGATGTACCACAATTTGAGCCCTAGCAAATGCCTTACAAGTTCAGATGGCAGCAGAGGAAAATAACCAAAGTAAACATAAATATGAAGGAAGGGGTCTATGATTTTGATGAAGACTAAAAAAAAACACCTCATTTTTCCCCCAGAGAAATACTGATGACTTTGTATGAGACCTTATCTTTCGGGAAAGTATATGGTGTGGTTCCTTTAAGCCACTCTATTTTATATAAGCATCTAGATAAAGTTAAAAATGCTGGGGTTTAGCAATTAGAAACCTCTGTGGAAAAGGTGTACATGGCTATATGAGTTAGCACATACATTTTATATTCATGAACTTTATTGAGTTTTAAATACAAAGGGGAAAATACACTTTTCAGAATTTGTAGCTATAATTTTGCTGTGGCTAAATTTGCTCCTATTTGTTGCACAGAGGACGTATATGAAAGGGAAGCTGGTTTCAGGAGGTTTTTGTTTTGTATCAGTTTTTCCCAGATCTCTAGAATTAGCCTGAAGGATCCTTTTAGAAAGCAAGTAAATACATAAAATATTAGAACAACACTGCAATGCAAAAAGGATGTTAAATTGCTCATCCAAGGAGATGACATAACAAATACTGACATAATTTCCAAGCAGCAAAGCAAAACTAGGTCAAATCACATTGACCTATCTAACATAATAAGCCCATTTTTTTCAGATTTTTACAATGCAGACTGTGTCTCCAGGCATTAATGTCCCCTGTTATCAATGTATAGTGTTGTCACTCTGCTTTAATGTCTTATCACCATATTGTGTTAATTAGACCAAAACAATACAGTGCACTTTTGAACTGCTTAAATCCCAGTTTGAAATCTCTGTCTAAACTATAATTCTGAGGTTTTCCAGTTGGAAATGAAGTCATTAACCATTTACCTATTTCAATAGGTGCTGGTGGGATAGGGCAAATTTTGACCTGTACAGTCAAAACCTAGGCTTCCTAAGCTGTTCAAAACAAGTTCCACATAGCTGACATCTCCCAGTGAGGGAATGCATGCCAGTATTGACAGCATAACCAAAGAACACACAATCTCTAAAGTATTGCATGGACAAACCTGGTCTGTGCTTGACAATGTGTCCCTGCCCAGGAGTTTAACCCACAGGCACTGCCCTGAAAGGAACAGTTCTTTGCCTTGCTCAGGGCAGCCTTCCCTTCCCCTATTCTTGTTATTCCTCTGCACATCAGATTTACCACACGTGTATTTTTCAGTGAGATTATTTACAGAAGGCTTCTGCCTACAGCCTCTTGTGACTCCAACAAGAGCAGAAGCACAAGAAATAAGAGAGAAATCTGCCTTTATCCCTGCATCCAGAGCTGAGGTGAAACCAGAGATGGTGCTGAGGGCTTGAGACCCAGGAGCTAATGCCCAGGGAGCAGGAGCTGCTTACAAAAAAGGAAAAAACTAGAGGCAGGAAACAGAGGCAGACCTTAGTGGCCCACAAATGAGAAGTTATCAATAGAGTGTACATCTTCTACGTAAAATACATATAGATTTTGCAATAAGGGCATCATATTAGGGAGGGAAAACCAATACAATCCAATGATAAAACCAAAATCCCCTCCAAAATTTTGAAGTTTGCTTGATGATGAAGAGTTCCTTGAAACTGGGATGCTGGCTGTTTTTATGATGGAGTGCCTAGATTTGGCAACTACAATTCTAAATATAAATGTATGAAAAAGAGGAGTGTTTCTCGTTTCCTTTTTTTTTTTTTTTCCTTCTTTTTTTTTTCCGTGCCACTAATTACCTCTCAGGAAGAAAAATCCCCAAACTAATACACTAAACAAGCCAAATTAAAAAGGAAAAAAAACCAAAACAAGAAAAAAAAAAACCAAAAAAAAATCCTACCCCAAACAAAACATAAGAACCCCCATACCAAAACAAAATAAAAACCAAAAGGGATCATGTTTCCATATGGGAGAACTACTGAAAAAAATATAAAATTTTTTGAGAACAATTTTACCATAAAATACTGATTTCTCAGTATTTTTTGAAAGAAAATATCAGTCTCAGCTAGTGCTTCAAATAAAGTTAAAAAAAAAAAAAGGGCTATCCCAGAAATGAGGTGGTGGGAAGGGAGGGTCTCATCTAAGCAAGCTCTCACTTCAACTGAGCCTACAAAGTGCATCAGCTTGTCACAGCCACAAATGAGTCTGCCCTACCACCCTGGTGTGTGTGTGTGTGTGTGGTGGGGGGTGTCTCTCTAAGCTCCTGCTGCAGTTGTTCAGTAATTAAATACCTGCAGACCCAAAGAGACGAGCCAATGCCATTAGTCTTGGGTGTCTGCTCTGACAATGGAGCCCCACAGGTGCACGGGCAGCCTGGGTGAAGAATGATGGGAAGATGTTGTTGCCACCAAAGGCATGAGAAATATGTTGGCCTTCCTGCCCAAATGTAGAGGGACTGTCATAGTGTGTCACCAGCTCCTTTCTAGGGCCATAAAATTCTCCTCCATAAATATTTTCCTTAACGACTATCACACGACAATAAAAAAATCCTATCAGCCCCATGGATCTCCTCATTTACTGTCCCTTTATTCTTTTTACAGGAATAAAAGCCTGGACTTTCTTTTATTTGTTTTACTATCTTAAAATTGCTCTTGCACCCAGTTATCTCAACACTTATTCAATCAACAAAGTTGATAAAACTTTTCGGGCCAAACAAACATTGCTTCTTTGCCAGCTTTTTTCTCCTCCCACATCCCCTGGGAAGATATAAATACTAATGATAAAAAAACCATGACATGACAGCAAATGGGAAAGAATTTTAAAGAATTAAGAACTATTTTTACTGTTTAGAAAAGAGATCAAAATCAGCTTCCTACCATTTAGCGCTTTTCCCAGCTTTCAGACTGGCTGGATTGTGCACTGCAAGGCAGGGATCTCAGGGATATACAGTAATTCCTTACAGCTTGCCAAAGCATTACAAGCTCTAAGCTGCACGACTGTAATAAAGACTTCGAATCAAAAACTAAAGGCTAAAGAATGAAATACCCTGCAAAGTCTGAAATTCAGCTCAAACAAACTCCAGTGCACATCCAAAAAGGCAATTAATACACTGTATGTGAATACTGGTCTGCTCCTTTCTCTCAGCTCAGTCTTCGTTCACAAACAAATCAAACTGTTTCTCCAAAGGCTGAAGCATTTTTTGAGCTTCAGCAGATTCCCTGAGCATTTATCACCGCGAGCTCCTTGTTCCCAGCATTTCATTTTCCTTGACCCCAGGCTCCAGCAGACCCCTTACCTCTCGTGCTACTCTGTGGAGGGACTCTGAGGTCTGACAACTTTTTGCAGTGCTCAGAAGTTGCTGAAACCCTCTGTGGCACTGCCTGCTTCCCTGTCCCTTGCCAGTGGGGAAGCCCTGTGTCCAGGCAGCAGTGGGAAGCCAGCAGGCAGCGCAGCAGAGGGCTGGGCAGGCCAGAGGGAGGGAGCTGGAGACAGACCTCATCAAAGGTAGGAGGCCTAGTGGGGATCATGGAAACACAGATACACATCTAAATAATTCAGGCGCTAATAAAAGCTTTAGGTTGGGCTCTGTTCAAGACGTGAAATGAAGCTGAATTTTGATGTATTTCAGGCTTCCATCAATGCAGAATGTGGTGTCACCTAAGAACCTGACGCTGAAAAACCAACATTATTTTAAAAGTATTCCACAAAGTTAATGAGGAAAGTGGCTATGGATATGTATATTTATAGCTTTAGGTTGAAATTCTATCAGGGAAAGATTTTGAGAGCTTCAAGTCTGACCTCTACAGGTAGGTGCTGAAATAGGAGTAGGATCTTGAGCTTGCAAATTGCACACGGAACTCTTACAAATCAGGGAAAGGTAATGGATCAGATGCACTACTTAACATCACATTATCATCAGTGCCTCCTGAAGCCATATTTTAAAAATACAACTATTTGTATCATCATCTGTGGGAATTTGGCTCCTGCAAATGCTTCTTTTGCAAACTGCAGACAGTGCTGCACCATGAGAAAAAGCACATCCAGCGTGAATTTTTTTTACATTCAAAAGTGTAAATGGATTATGCTCTGCTTTTTATTATCCCTCCCCCTTCCTCACCAATCTTCCACATGATCTACTCTTGCAGAGTTACAGAAACAAGCATTACTTTGAAACTGATAACATTCATTTGCGTTTTGCAAAACTGATGTTTTTAAACGCCCTGATCCGTGCCACCTTTTTCTAATCAGAACCAACCACTCTAACAAACTACCCTTTGTCAGGGGATCTCATCCCCTCTGTTCCCACCAACCTACAGCACATGTTGCTATAGCTACCCTGCATGTCTATTTACCACACAAGTGATCAAAGGGAGCAGACAACACACATATACACATGCACAAAAAAATCCTGGCCAGGCTTCCTACGGAGCAATGTCCAGCCACTAATTAACTGATACACTCCCAGCCTGCGGACTCTGTACACTTGTTTTCTTTTTTCTGCATGGGACACACAAAAAAAAGGCAGCATGCTTTCTTCCCTTACAGGACGAACAAACAAAAAAACATCCCAGGATGAACTCTACAAGATAAGGCAAAAGGATTACAGAACTTCAGGATAAAATACAACTTTTCTACAGAGGAACGTATTAAGAATTTTAAAAGGTATGCAAAAGAAAATAGGAAATAAGAAACACATGCTAAGAACTTAAACAGCTGAAAGGAAAGGGGGTGATTTTGAATTTTGCATATGTTTTGCACTGAAATTATATACAGCTTTTATTCACTTGGTGAATTATATGCATACTAAAAGCCATATGACTGCAGACATGATAAGTAATTGTAATGGTTTTCTGCCCCTTAGAAACACACTTTTTAATTTTTAGGTGGCCTGTCAGTTAACAGTTGTTTAGTTGAACCTCTTTATGTAACAAAGGGCTCAAGGCTCAAGACTGCCTCGATCAAAGTCAATGGTACTTCAATAGGAAGAGGCCAAAAGAAGGAGCTGCATTTTTTGTCAATGACACTCCTGCGAGCTGCACTTCAGGGATACGTTGTGGTTGAAAGGGAATGAAATGAAGTATTAAAATTCATCAAACATTTGATTTTCTGTGAAGTAGGCTTAGGAAACAAAACAGAGCCCACAGTGCCCTCTCCAGTTCTGCAGCAAACTCAGGGAATCCAGCCACATAACTGTGTCCAGCCACACAAAAACTCCACCTCCATGAAGGCTAAGCACCCCTTTAGGAGTTTCCATCACTTGCAAATTTCCTTACTTTATAATAATAACCAGAACTCAGTACTCTGCAAAGCAAAGCAAAAAAACCCCTAAAAACAAACAAAAAAACAAAACAAAACCAAAACCAACAAAACCCCCCCCTATTGTTACTTGTAAAGGCTTTTTTCTTGTCTGTTAATTCCTTTTTTTATTTTTTTGCAACTATGTAAGATACCTTTAAAAATTGCACTTCTGCTTCCTAACACTAGTCTTACAGCACACTAGCACACACAAATGGGTATATTTCCTGTGGATGCTTAAACTTTTACTGGTACATTTTGATCAGCATAATTTTCCAGATAGGATACAAGTGTTCTTATTTTGGTTGCTGAGCCTTATTTGTGAGGTTATTTTACGAGACAGCAAGAGACATTTTTTGTTGAGGTTTTCAATGATCAGCTAAAAATGACTGCTTCTTTATACTGTCTCATTTACAAATCCCAACTCAGTATTTATACCAACCCCTGTGAACTGCTGGAGACTATTGGACTGGCACAGTAGTAAAGCAGGTTGAATCTTATCAACAGGCTGCATATTACATTTCTACAGTAATTCCTCTGCTTCAATTGGGGAAATTAGTGCATTTGTCTTTCTGTGTGCTATTGTTCAGTAGCAGTGGGTTGCCCTTGGGTCAGATCAGTCATCAGCACAGTACAGGATTTCATTCCAGCACCTGCAGTACATTGCCATATGCCTATGTACTTGATGGTTAACTCTGCAACACCAAATAGAGCCATAGGTCCTACCAAGAGCCTCTCAAAGCCACTCACTCCCAAAGCCTGTGAAGAGGAAGGAGTTAACCCACTCCCTCCCAGCTGGTGTAAGGATAAGGAAAGGAGCACCAAGGAAGGGCAGAGAAAGCAACAGGACAGGTAGGGAGAGATGATTATAAGGTGTAAGAGACGGTAAAAAAGAGCTCGCTGTTGCTCTGAATAGTGGGGCCATGGAAAGGTCACCCTCTGCATATAACTCTTTCCCTTAACAATTTCCAACTAGAAGCAGGAATGAGGGCTCCAGCTGCACATGACTTGCCTGCTGTAATGGATTTCCTAAACGTTTTATACAGTTACTTCATAGCCCATCACAACCTTCATTTCCCACTAAAACAGGAGTTCTGCTGACAGGCGCTGATGCGCACAGTAGCTCAGCACCACCTCGACATCCAGCTCCCTGGATTTTGTCCCTCGGGCCCTAGCAGTGCCCACAGACTTTCCCTGCCAAACTGAAAATATTTGTGCACGGCAAACCAACCGAAGCCAGAGGAGCACTGCCAAGCAGTTCCCTTGGCCCGGGAGAGGCAGGTGTTTGTTTAAACAAACCCTGCCGCGGCTCGGGCGGGAGCGCGCATCCCCCGGGACGGGACGGGACCGGCCCGGCAAGAACGAGCCCGCCTGTGCCTGCACCTCTCTTCAGCATGGAATGTCTCCCCCATCCCTCCTCCTCTTCTGGAGGGTACGTGTGTGCCTTAGCATTCCCCCTCCGCCCCCATTCTCTATTAGACTTATTTGCCTCGCTCTTTTAACCCATGAATTTTCATTATCCCTGAAGTCTATTCTTTCGGTAGAAATATTTCAGGAGAGTAAAGTGCACGTTTCACAGAACATTTTATACTTTATTATTGCAGTCCTGTAACATTTCTGCTTCTTTCGCACTCCTTGTTGGTAACCCCCTGTGCCAAAGTACCCTCTTGTGATGATAATGATTTCTGATGACTACGTGCATCCAGCTGACCAACTTGAGTATATAAAATGTCCTTCATTGTGCTTTGCAAGGACAAGAATTTCCCTCTCTTAGAGAGTTATAAAATGTGGTGATTTTGCTAGTGGGAGCAAGAAATACCTTCCCTCTTCCTATCACCTATGTTTTCTCTTTCTTCACCCTTCTTCACCTCCTCTAACTTAGAGAAAACTGGCAAGGAAGCTGGGATTTCCCACCATGGTTTCAGAAAGCGAGTGTAAAACAAATGTTCCATTTGCACTACAGGTGCAAAATCCTCACACACGCATTTCCTGGACATGTACTATAAAAGTCCCCCTGAGAACTGAATGAATGACACCCACACAGAAAACCTAGAAAACTTCTAATTTCCTCGTACTTTCCCATTGCCTACCCAGAAAATAACATGTTATGAGCAAGTTTAGGAAGTGGACTGGCTTTTTAAACTGGGACAGATCTTTGATTCAGTCTTAAGATACAGCCAGCTCTTCCTCCCACAAGGCTTTTCTAAGTGTACATTGTTGCTGTAAAACTATGAAAAACAAGAATCAGAAACATTTTGCCACTGTGCCTTATAACTGTGAGAATGAAAATAAAAGCTCCTTTTGTCTCCTCAGGTGAATAGAAGTCTTTAAAAAAAATCCTCATTTGAATAATCTTAGAAAAAAAATCCCTAGAAAACCCATCTTAAAGTACTTTTGTGAAGCTGCAAGACAGCTTGAAACTACCACGTTTTAAAACAATCAGAAGATTAAAGCACTGGCAGGCAAGGAACTCATGCAGAGCTGTTTAATAAATTATCCTTGGGCTGAATTATTGGCATATTTAGGCTTATAACACAGCAAGTTCTTTCCTTTCGCATGTCACAAACAGGGCTGCGAGACAGCCTACACAATGCACTTAAACCATGGCAAACTGGAATTGATTTACATAGCTCGAAAACCGCTTCCATGCTCCCAACAAATCCAAAACGTACCATGACTTGCATGGCATCCCTGCCTACCGGGAGAATCGGGGCGCGGGGGTGTAAGAATTTTTTTTTTTTTTCTTTTTCACACCCGGAAACTTACAGTTATACGAAGAAAATAAAGAGGAGGGGAAAAAGCAGGGGAGACCGTCAGGGGGTGGGAGCGGTGGTGGCCGGAGCCGGCGGGCAGTGCGTGGCTCCTTACCTGCCTCATGGTGAGATTCCCATCATCCATCCAGCCGGCCAGGGGCTGCTCACTCCGCGCTGCTGTCGGCAGGGCAGAAATCCATCAAGTTTCCCACCGTAAGCAACTTTCCCTCCCTCCTCTTTCCTGTCTATTATTTCCCACCACCCACCCCCCCTCCCTTTTTATTCTTTCCTGGGGGAGCCCTTAGACAATGTCAAGTTTCCCAACCTTCTTTGCCCAGCCTATGAAAAGTCGGCAGCGGGGAGGCAACTGTCCGGCAGGCTCTGATTTCAAACCGCAGCCAGGGATGGAGCAGTTGGCTGAGCCGGGCCAGGGAATAGCCTCGCCAATCAGCAGGAAGGGGAGGGCGGCAGAGCACATAAAGGCTGCTGCCTACACGAGGATTAGGAAAGCTTTCAAGGATTTAAAAGACTGAAAGCAGCTGGAAACAGTGTCTAGGGCTACAAAGAGCGAAGTCAATTTGCGGTGTAAGAGATTATTCCCATTCTCATGTAACTGCTCTGGGTCTGCTCGGAGCTTACCAGGCTCCCAGGACTTCAGCAAGGATATGTAAATGCCCAGTTGAAATTACTGCAACATCAGAGTGATGCAGGAACGCTCGACAGCCGCCCGGTAAAGTGGCAATATCCCGTCTCCAGAAGCACCGATTTCCTCATGTCAGATTAAAAGGAAAATTACATAATGACATAAGCAGGAAGTAAAATAGCGTTTGCCATTTACATTAAAGGCGAGTGCCTGTCTGTTGGAAGGAACAAAAATATATGTGTGGATCCGTAGGCTACGGAAATGTTTTGTTGAAAAGTTTTATTTGTTTCAGTGGCAAACGTTTAATCATCCCTAGCCTCAGTTCATTGTCTGCTTTCCCTTCTTTAGGGAGGGTGGTTTCCTCATTCCTGAAGCCGAGTTTTTCATGCAAGATAACACTGGACTCCAAATGCAACTTCAGAGAAACAAAAAACGTGTTTTGTTTTTTGTTTTGTTTTGTTTTTTTTACCGAGATCAGCTGCGATCTGCTGCCCCTCGGTGGCTTTCATTAAAATAAACAAAGAAAAGGCAAAATTAAAAATCTCAGATCTGAAGTGCTGTAGAGTTTGAATTACACCTTTCAAAGAATTATAGAATTGTTTGGGTTAGAAGGGAGCTTGAAGAAAATCTTGTTCCAAATTTCTTGAGTTAAAAAAAAAAAAAAAAAAAAAAAAGGCAGAGAAGTGCAAGCCTGCAAATTGATACCAGCCAATCTTCTCCAAAATAGAGAAGGCTCCTAACTTAGTATCAGTTCAGAAGCCTGTTAGTCATTCTGTTCCGCTCTTAATGGAAATCTGTCTTTTGATCTTAGGGAACAATCAGGCAAATCTGATGCCTGAAGTAAAGTCCCAATATCATGAATTTGTTTCTGCAATGGCTTTATCTAGCAATGAAAAAATTAGTTAGTATCCATAAAAACCCTCAGCAGTACAAGTAATCTTTCTGAATTACATTACAAAAAAAACCCTTACAATTATATTTCCAGGATTTCAATTAAAATCTTCCAAAAATGTATTTCCTTTTAACTTATGATAAGCTCCATCAGTGGGTTTGTGACAGGGAAAGAAAGAAAATACCTGAAATATGTATTTATTTGTTTTCCCATTTAAAGACAACAATTATTTTTCTCAGAACTGCAACAAAGAAAGAAGCTTGCATAATATCGGCCCTGTCTAGATCAGAAGCATGGAATGGATGGAGGGAAAACTCGATTGAAACCACTACTGCACTTTACCCAGGTCCAACTTTACTCTTGCCTGGTCTGTGTCCTCAGGAGGAAGGATCCAATTATATGCTTTAATGTACAACACCAACCATCTCCAGGGATCAATATAACATGCTGCATAAGGGTAAGACCAACCATCCTCTCTAGCCAATGTGGAGACAAGTGAGTGATGCCCCAGTGATGGTCTAATGCCGCCCAATTGCACAACAGCTTGAAGCAGCTGCAATGCAGAGAGTGAGGTGCATTAAGAGCACTTAACAGGAATGCTTGTCCTCTGTTCCCCAAGCAGAGCTCAGGGGACACGTGTCACTTGAAATGAGTATGTGGTATGTGAAGTCCTTTTACTACTTTAAATCTGGGAGCATCCTCTCCAGGATGCATTCAAAGGAAACATAAAAGTTCTTTTTCAAAGTAGTTAGAACATTAGGGCTAAACTACCCTGGTGAAGAGGATGTAGTAAAAAGTTCAAAACTTACAGAATTGGTAAGGCTTATAAAGGATTCACACAAAACGCCTGTATTTGATTTCAAGGCTTAAGAAGGGGATTATTAGAACAGCTTCAGAGTTTCATATGGGAACAAGGCAAAAGTTTCTGTAAGAACTCAACATTATAAAGATAAAACAATTGCATAACTTTTCTGGAAATGCAAGCACCTTTTCACATACAACAGGCACAACTTACAGGATTGGATGGGTACTGCATTTTACTGAAAACCCAGCAGAATGTGGCATCAAAAATGAGTTAATTGTATAGGATGAAAACTGATTTATAGTATTAGCAAAAAAATGAAAGCATTAAAATTGACGACCTATGTTCAGGGTGGGGTGTGGGCTTTTTTTTTTTTTTTTTAATCCAGTGTCAGAGACAGCTCCTGTTCTATTTATGCTATTCACTTTCCACCTTTGAGGAATGTACTTTGAGATCGACCCACACTCAGTTGCTGGAGTTTTTTGGTGTAATACAGTTTTGTAGTCCAGACCAAGTCTGCACCAGCTGCAGGGAGTGCAGTGGTATTATCACATGCAGTGGATTCAGAAAACCGGGTTCTGCACTTCACTTCTTAGAGCATTCTGAGTGGCACAAGAGGAAAAGAGAGGATCTATATATGAAATGGTTTTGAGGGTAGTCAGCATCCAAAGACATAGATGAACAGTTAGATGTGAGGGAGAGGAATCGCTGCCTGGGATGCAAGAAGGCAGGTGCTAGTTTTTACACCTTCCTCTGAAAATCGGATTTCCTATCTATAATCCAAGTCTATGTGTGTGCATGAGAAAGTCATATGGTGTTTGGGGAAGTGAGATTCTATCCCTGACAGAGGAAACTTTTACAGTCTATCCAGTGGAACCAGTGGAGGTAAGAGCAGCCAGAGGAGTTGGTGCCAGGTGTAAGTTCAGACATCACTGGGAGCAAGGACCTGTATAAGCCAGACCAAAGTCATGGTAGGCACTACTATAGTTTTAAAGGATTCTTATTGAATTATTCCAAGTTAAAAGTAAAATGGCTACAAGCACACCAAACCATTGGCATTTCTATGTTATGTGAACACTGATTATCAGCAGTAATGGTCACAGACTCCTCATATCAAACTCCTTGGAGTTATGAGTGACACCAGAAGACATAGAAA